AAGCAAGAATTAAACATAAGCTTTCTCTGAATCAGAGGATTATATCCCAAGACAGCCTTACTAAACTTATCTGCACAGCACAGTTTTGCTCTGTTTGGGTTGCTGCATGGTTGGGATGGGTGTTTTGTCTTAGCTTGCTGGTTTTGTAGTCTCAATTTGTTACTTATTGCTGTCATAGTATTATAATTTGCAGATGCACCTTTGTACTCCCCCTATTTATGTATATACTATGTTGTGATTGTTAATTTTCTTAAATATACGGATATTTGAGTTTTTGTCTTGAATAATCTTACAGGTATTTATAGATTATCCCATAACAAGTATTGGTTAAATTTTAATTTTAATAGTTTATTTGGTTTGAGAGGATAGGAGAGGGAGGGAAAAAATGTCATTTAGATAAACAAAAATTAGAGGAAGGAAGGGGTTTTCTATTATTAACAACTTGGATGCTAAAAGTGAAGCATGTTGTTTTAATTGTTGTACAATTAACGAATCTCTTGGGCGAAACAATTAGTTAAGGATCTTAATTCTTAATTATGTTATTGATAATTGACTTAGGTGTTATAATTGATTCAATTCAATCCAATCTCAATTCCATGTCATCTTTCATTTCTATCATAAGCAAAACTTGGAGAGATGCATTAAGAAAACCTATACAGAAACTCCCAAAAATGGTAACGTTTCTTTTTTTATTTTTTTTGTCATTCACTTAAAAAGAGCCCTCTCCTCATCATTTTATTATATTTTAAAATTATTTTAGTGTGAAAATGACCACATTAACAAAATAAACTCTATTTAATATAAAAGAGGTAATGATATGTAGATTATTTTTTATATAATTTTTATATATCATTAAATGAATAATCAATACATACAATATCAAGAGTTCAAGTAAAGTGAAAAGAATCAAACATTAAGTACTATATAAAGTTAAATGAAAAAATTTTATAAAAAGATTATCTCTCAATTATTTTCCTATAAAAATGTACATTGACCTTTTAAAACTTAACTTGCCAGGTCAGCCCAATTAACAAAAAGTGAACTTAAGAGCATCTCCAATGGGAGCTCTCTTGCATGGTTCTTTTTCAAAATAGAACAGAGCACAAGTTGAAGTAACATTGGACCAAAACACGGCCCGAACAATGACCAAGCTCGACCTTTTGAACAAAGCCCAGCTAGGTAAAAATTATTTGCCCAAAAAACAAAAACTACGTCGTTTTGACCATTGTCCTTTGAAATGTAGTTGTTGTGTTTGGACTTTATTTACAAGCGACTGTGTGCATGTCAAGTGGTTGCAAGCGGTTCCCTGCCACTCAACCCAG